CCCATGGGAAGTGACACCATCCTCGATCCAGCGAAGCGAGCAGATGGGGGATACTGCACAGATGGGTTGGCCGGCACTATGGTGGGCGTGTGCAGTGCCAATGGACTTCCTGATTGCGTGCACCAACCCTAAGGCCATCACTGCTGTCCACAGCACTCACCGACACTTTGTGTGGCATGTGCGTGGATTTCACTATTAACCCAAGAAAGGACCAGAGCTATGGATTTATTTATTTTTTAATCCTGCTTACCTATTGAACTGTAAAATGCTACAATGTGATGAAGTGTAGTTTTACGCTGACGGAGGTCTGTGGGTCTGCGGTACAAAAGGGAGGCTGCAGCTTGTGGAGCTGTTGTGTCTCATCTGAACAAGCGCAGACACTCCCTATAAATAATTCAGGGCGGGCGTAGTACCTGAGTATCCACTGGGGTGGACTGTTTGATATTTTATTCAGTGTCAAAAGGCTAAGTCTGATTTTATACAGATATTCCCCCCTCCCACCCCCCCATCCCGGAATCCGTTGTAAAGATTACCTGCAAATCTGCAAGGGCAAGGTTCAGCTCTTTGAAAGAGGAAGAGCCTTTCATATTAGGTGTACTCGGTCTCTGATTTACAAACGATTGAATCACAGGCTGTGCTTAAAAGGGCTTCGACTAGCTGTGAGGGCTCATTTCTTGAGGAAAACGCCCAGCTTCGTTGTCCGAAAATTTAAGGTAGTGGGAAATGCATCATGAAAGGCTTTGAAAGCACGCCGTAAAAAAAAAAACTAATTAGCCCTGAGCCTGATACACAGTCACCTAAACACAATTTTTCAGAACTAGTGTCGTAACTTCTTACGGCGTGAAATCCCTCGTACCTCCGCCCGCAGTTGCCAGCTTCTTTAAAATATTGTTGTCAAGGGTCGTTGTGACATTATGGGCAAATTTGAAAAGGAAGAGAGGCGCAGCGAGTAACGACCTAAAGCAATGAATTATGAATGAAGGGGGGAATACATAATTTAGCTGAATTTGTTGCATATTTTATGGTAATCATCTCTCTTTCATTTAGGAATCACAGTGGCACTACAGCAACAGACAATAAGATGTGACAAATGAACATATGCTTGTATATTCTTAAGAGAAAAAAATGCTTTTTCTAATCTTCGTTTCATCTTCAGGCATTTGCTGCCCTTAATGATTGATTGTCTTTAGTTTTTTTTTTTTTTTTGTGCAATTACTTTGTTTTACTTTTTAGTTAAGTCGCTGCATAAAATTAGAGAGTAATACACGCTCGCAGTGTTTTTAACTGCCTCTGACCCCACAGCTTCCTCAGTGTCGGTTCAAATTAAGCATACAGCCGGGGTTCAAATGAGCTCAGCTTCTGAAGCGGCTTTCAGTGAGAGGCTGCCATCTACTGTTAGCCGAGACTCAAAGCTTTTCTGCCACAGATGTTCTCTTTCTTTTTTTGTGGGGTGTGATCCTAGCTCTGCATTCCTTGTAAATTCTCTTGTATCCTTTAAAGTTGTCTTTTGTGTACTTGCAGAACCTGTCCGAGTGCGACATCGGAAAGTTTAGCCTCCTCCACCAGCCGTAAGTAGCACTGTCCCACTTTTTTTTCCATCCCCCTATATTTCCTTGCTTTTATCTTCTGTATATTACCAAAGATTGGGTTCAAATTTTCATGAAAACAGAAGTTATTCACAAATTATGGATCTCTATATTTAATTTTGTCAGTGTTTCACACACTTAATCGGTGGATTTCAAATTTTAAGAGGTGTTAAAACCTCTGGTCACACTTCCAACTTCATTTTACAACAGGAAAAGCCAAAGAAACATAGCTCTGTTTGGACCATGTGTGCTTGTGGGTGTTTACAGCTGCCCGCTCGTACAGCTGGTGTGTACTGCTTTGTGCGTACAGCCTATTTGTGTGTGCAGATGGGTGTTGTGTAGTAGTTTTGTGTGCCTGACTGCACCTGCACAGCAGTCTGTTCATGTTTGTCACGTACCTTCCTGTCATTTGTGTGCATGTTTGTATGCATACACCATTCATAATAAGACTTCATAAAGTTGGAAATGTTTCAACTGGACCAAAATGACCTTTTACATTATCATTTAAAAAATCATTAATTTCTATATAATTACTCAAACGTTTGACAAATAATAATGTGAAAATGAAATGTATGAATAATTGTCAACAATGAATAAACAAAAGTTTTTCAACACTCAGCCTTTTTTCCAGAAGTCCATAAATAGTCCCAACTTTGCCGCTCACATTAAAACGGGAAAGCCTTGTGGTGAGGGAACACATTTTTACATGAATTTATTCATGTAAAAACCATTCATTCGTGGAATCCTTTCTCCGAGAGCTATTCATCAATTAATGCAATAACATTTTAATTATTAGTATGTGTGATTTATTCATTATATTCATATGAAGTCTTCCATTTATGGACGGACAGACAGACCTTAGATGGAGAGCTGTAAATGTGGATTGTGCTGGATTTAAACATGTCTTTAACTCTTATAATGGCCAAATATCATCAGTGTAAGTCAGGTTTATGACCCTTCATGTTAAGTCAACACTTCAAGGAACACATTCACTTCAACTTACTTTGGGGATAAATACTGGATTGGAATATTTCTATTCTCATTTTAAAGTATGTGAAATCTGATCATATGACATATTGTCGATTGTATCATATCCAGCCTCACTAACTGCATTTGAATAGTCAAAAATGGTACCTGTTCGTCGACGGTCTTATTGTAAAAAGGACGTATTTTTGCCCGAACCTCAATTACTTTCAAATCATGACCCAAATCGTAACTGTTTTAACCAAATCAAGAGGGGACAGATGTGTTTTAGCACAGTTTTGATGCAATTTTAACAACTTAGAAGTTGACAGACGTAACACATATGATGGTCCATATAGCGTGTCAATGAATTATGAAGTCCCTGCGCACATCCTCCCTGCACACCTACACTATTTATAAGTACTTTATGGTTTCTTGAAGGAACGACTTGACAATGACGTATCGCTGCGCTGTTCATGAGTCACCTTTCCCATCCGCTGCTTGGGTGGCACTTTACAGGACTACGTTGTGTTATCTTGTCACCCATCGAGCGTTTCATGTTCGTGGAAGATAAATTGGCATTTTTTGACGAAATAAACCTCTGTCTATGTACTATGTTTTTTAAAATATCTGGGATATGTAGAGGTACTGAGCACCTGGCATTAGGACTAAAAATAACTTTAAAACCATTTAAGTTTTATATTGACTGTCTAGTCACAACTTGATCAGAGGGACCACAAATGTTTAAAATTATTTTTTGTGTTTGCAACTTTCTGACATCACTGCATAGCACTGCAGGAAAACTATTAATAGTTGTGGGTCACTAAATTAGGTAAGGCTTAAATAAATTAGATAATAAGAACAAGCCATAATTAGAGATTAAATTATCATAGTGCCAGGCTATTGTTCTTCTTTTAAAGGAGCCGAAGAAGCCTCGGACTGAATACACTTAACTAATGTATGATCCCTGGAGTTTGCGCAGTGCTGTTAAAGCATGTCATGGAATCTTGTGCAACACGCATCTTTGCGAAATCTGCTCAAGAGTCAGAGCAAGTTAACCACAATCAGACTTTCTGGGAAGAATCCTTAAGTCACAGGACAACAGACCAGTGCAAAACGTTACTACTTTAAGGTAGATTTGAAATTTTCCATGATTATAGTTATCATTGGCTGATGATGACGTCATTGAGGCGACATTAGATGGGGTGGAGGAAAGTTATTGGTTTACATTCCCTGATTTAACACTTACTTCTTTAACATGTTTATCATACACCGAAATATAACATAGGAATGCTAGATACCGTGAAGAACATGATTGCATCGTACAACAGGAAAATAGCAATGGGGATCACCAGCTTCAAAATAAATTCTATCAAACCGGTACGTAGTGGATAAACCAATGTGACAGTCAAGCAGTCCACAGAAATGTTTTCAAGTTTTGTCTATTTTTAGCATGTCGGCAATGAATCACATGCAGATGTTTCCTTAGGTATTCAAAGCTGTCTCATAACTCGATGAACAATATGGATAGATCCCACCACTTCCTGTTTTCTTTTTCTCTACTCACTGTGAGCAAGTGCACAGGGGACATATGTTGGGCAAAAAAAAAAAAAAATGTTTTTTGAAAATCCCCCGACAACAAAGTGTTAATCATCCCAAGAAAGGCTGCATGAGCATTTTTTTCTTTTTTTTTACACCTTCATTGTAGGAAGTCCTTTGGGTGATGATACAAAACTCCATGATGTAACTATCATGATGTGATTTTGTCCATCAATTCTATTCCACACGTCACTTTAAATCACCGCCTAACCTTCTGTTGACTACATTGATTCTGATTCTTATAATTTATTGGGATTTTCTAAGACACTATTTTTTCCACGCAGTTATCTGAATCTTTCAAAATGAGAATGTCTACTGTGTGGAAGGGTGGATTTGAAGGAACACAAGTTTCATGTGACATGAGACGGTGGCCAAAAAAGAGAAGTGATTTTTTTTTTTTTTTTCCAACAGACACAACTCGAATGAATCCCCTCCCCTTTTGTTGTTCAGAGATTAGGTCACACAACGTGTTCATTTAGGACTTTACTTAGAACCTGGTAACACACACATAGCACATGAGAGGAATGAGGGCTGACAATGTCA